TTGTTACTAGTAGTAAGGCACTTGTTCCTAGTAGCGTGGCACTTGTTACTACTATTAGAATGACAACGCATCACCAGAGGCACGAACGCCACGAGGTCATAGCCATAACGTCGGAGCCTCGGCAGGAACTTCGCCGACCATGGGACGATTCGCCACGCTGTGTGCGCAGTTACGGCATTTGCGTCCCGAAAGTTCAAGGCGGCAGCGCTCTACTTGTACCTTCCCTCCAAATAACATAATAACATGTGTGAGCTCAGTGCAAGAGTGCAAATACCACACAGTCTGGCGATGTTTGTCCTCTGAATGGCCGCCCCTTCCTCCGTTCGTTCCTTTGAGGCTTCTACAACTGCACCTCGTATGCCAGCGAGCACCCCCGGATGGGAACCTGACTCACTTGAAAACACCACCTGGATCAAACAAATGACAAATGACAGCCAGGTCCATCTGATTCCACATGGTTTCGATTCCAAGGCTCAGAACGAGCGTTCCAAATATTTCCCAGCACTGTCCGGCCACACGCCGCCTCTTCGGGGCTATGGAAGGAGTTGAAAAAGCTCCAAAGCCTCAGCGAAAAGCGGTGAGATTCAGATAGTACAGTCTATGGTCCGTCAAACCATGTCGAACAAGTGTCATGCCCATGACTTGAACAGCGACAGGATGAGATATATATATAGAGAGAGAGATATAGAATCCCTTCGTTCGACCATCACATACCATCACCATATCTCGTACGCAAGGTACACTCATTATTGTCCGCATCCTACCCTGAAGGTCCGCATGTGTGAGCTTGTCATTTGCCTCACTTTGGTACAAAATAGCTTGCCAACGCAGAATACCCGGTCGCCTACTCATGTGCCGGGTGGCTCTTTACCTCTTTCTTTCTGCTCCGCACCGGTGGCCCGCCAGGGCCTGGACTCCGGATGGTGCAGCATCGCCCACCTCGAAGGCTCGGACCGGCCACAGCCGGTGGCCACCGCGGTGGCGAGTCCAAGGCCACAGCGTTTTGCTCTGGTGAGAGATTGTCAGGGTGCGTTTGCTGGTAGAGTAGGGATTCATGAACTGCCAGGGCCAGGGATTCATGAACCCCTCAGGACACAGCAGTTCACCCCTTGATGATGCGTGCCAGAAGCCCCCAACGATCCCTCTTCGCTGTGGAGCCCGAGCTGGTAAGGTGGAGGGATGGATGGGTTGGCCTGGCGCCGGTCGCCGCGCGTCCCGCGTTGCTGGACATGGCGTTTCCAGTCGCCACATGATTCGCAGCCGACGTGGAGACGCAAATGATGCGAAATGTCGAAAGGACGGGGGAAGCTCAAGAGAGCAGGGCTGCAAGATCGTGCAGTAGCTCATGAAATCCTTTCTTTCGTGCCAGTTTCCTTCCAAAACTTCTCGTTATACGGTGAAGTCCCATCAGCTGCATCTTTCGTCCCATCCTCAACCAGGACGATCTTCGCCCGAACGTCCGGCCTCAGCCGCCGGCCGTCGAAAGGCTGAACTTTGACGAAACATGCTTCCCAGTAAATCCCAGTTGACACTATACTATATACAGTACAATAAAGAACCAGGGTTTCTAGGTCTATCGGCGGCTTTAGCCTTTGGAACCACAGGTTACCGCTATTATATAGGCTTATAGTGGTAACTGGATGCCCTGGGTTTCGTTTGTTCACTGTGGGAGGGCAGATTCAGCTCCAAGCAAGATCATTTCCAGCACAGGGCAGTCATAGGAGTCGATATCCACCTGACCAGGTGGGAAGTAAAGAAACTCAGAAGCTTCAAGAGGAGCTCGCGAGTCGTTGTTGATCTTGCAGGGGGGTTCTTAATCTGAAACTGCTCAATTCCCCAAATCCTGGCAAAATGATGCTAAATGCATATAGAGGGAAATGACCACATCCCGATTCGACACCGGTTCGTTCGAACCGGTGTCCCCGAGAAAAATCCTGGAGGTCTGACCATGCTGCCGTGGCTGAATTGATAGGACCACTCACAGGACTCATTTGAGATTTAAACATGGACCAATCAAGATTTTTTATACTCCTATGCCACGCCTTCAGCACATCAATTTCATCCACAGAATCCAGCCTGACGCCAAAAAAAAAATTGTCATCAAGTGTACAAAATCAAACCATTCAAAGGCTTGAATGATTCAGAGAGCCTCAGCCAAGCTTCTCAGCCAGGCACAAACATGGGTCCCAGCCAGGCTTCTCAGCTCGTTTGGCACCACCGTTTCGCGACAAAAAAGATCTGTGGACCATGATGTTTCTGAGGCGCCAACGCCGGCTGTATCAGCGACATGATGTTCTGAGGTGTCACCTGTACCATTGGGTAGTGGGAGGCCGTCTATTCTCCTGGATTTTCTAGACATCACATGGCTTCTATGCAGTGGCTAACGCGGCTGGAAAGGTGTAGATTCGTTTCATGGGGATGGCGAAGCACTACTCCGGAGTGAGTGCTGGTGATTTCCCCTGATTTGCAGTTAGTCTGCGAGGACCAGGAGGTTACTAACCTGTCACAACATGAACTCTTGCTGAGTCGTCCACAAACATGGGTGCCGGAAGCCGGCGATGCTAATGCTATGGACCCCCTGTTTGCCACTATTTTGCCTGTGATTGCAATATTCACATCATCAATATGTGTTGCACTGGCTGCTGACCGGTGCGACGAAAGTAGGGAACGAGTCGTTCCTCCCAATTCCTTAGGGCCTTAAAGTCCCGCAATCCTCATCCCCGACGGAAAATCGAGCCAGTCAGACTTGGCCAGGGAGGATATTTGATCTTCCATGATCAACCAGCCACTCGGAAGGTTGAAAGCCATGATCAACCACCAACATTCCATGATCGTTCCCAACGTTGGTTGAACGTCCAGCCATCCTCACTCCCAACCTTTCAACCAGCCACTGAGAGGTGGCCGACCGCACTCGGAGCGGCCACCGCGTTCGTTCCGCGTTCGTTCCGCCGCCTCGGAGCAAGCGACCTGCACCTTTGGCAGGGCTGCCCGGTGACCTTGAGGGCGAGGCGCCGCTACATCGACTGACCATGGTTTCAAAACCCGAAAGGTTGCACTATGACTATGACCCCCTGCATCCCCCTGCAATTGCACTATGATTAGGAGTCGTACTCATCTGGCCTGTTCAAAAAGGGGACGGCCCGACTGACGGCCTGCTAGTTCGACGTTCCTCGCACTGCATTTGTTTGAGGTTTTCAAACACAAGAGCCCACCAAACAACGGATTTGGGGTTGCCTTCATCTCCCTTTGCCCTTGCAATGCACCCCCTCCCGCGGGGCAAACGCACGTGGACTTGAAGCCAACCTTTCTGACGTATAGCCCTAACTACTTAATGGGCCACCCCCCTCAGCCGCCGTGCGTTCACATCGTTCGGGATCGCGTTCCACCGCCATCCCCGTGGCGTTGCTGAGACCTCCACGCCGACGCCACGACGTCGACATGGAGAAGTCCACAGACTTCGGGCTCTCTCCACGACGAATCCAATGGCATGAATTGTGCGGGCCAGTTGGGCGCATGGGCTGCGGGAGCTTTGGCCCAAAACGCAGAAGCAGCTTTTTATTGGGGGGGATGTGTCAGACACCCTCTCATTTTGATTGACTAGCTATATGATTCGATCACAAGGAACTCCCCCAGGATCTCAAAAAATGCTCAGAAACCCACTTCCGTGCACCTCTCCTGGAGAATCCTTCATCCTCACCTTCTGAAAACACAACACAGACAATGGCTACGTCCACACTCTATATACTGTATTCACCAATTGGAATGTGTTGGAATAATCCCTGGGAACCTGGGATCCTTGGAATACATTGGGAAATATTGCAACAATTACATACAACATCACACAACATCATATAGAGTATATACTTATAACTACTAATTACCCGCTTCTTCCCGTGTCCTCTTTCAGCGGCTGGCCACCAACCCACCTCTTCTCCACACGCCCAGACTCCCCGCAGCTCATCACAGGACTCCACGCGCGCGTACTCGTAGAGAGGGTCATCGGAACTCGGGAGCGTCCGGCCGCCGTGGGACGGAGGACAGGGTAAATGATGGTAAATGGACCAATTGACCGGCATCGGAGAATGGAAGCAACAAGAACCTCTGGAAATGAAAAGTCGCAAGGGATCAAACTCTTAGGGGAGCAACTTTTTTGGGTAGATGATGGTAGGTGTTCGTTGCTCCATCGGCATCTTGAAATGTTGTGCTCCATTCCCAGCAGCATCACCTGGCTGGGCTCTTGAGTCCTTGAGTCTTGGTCTGTGGAACAGCTGGCGGGCTGAATCAGGCTGGCACCCACCAAAACTTAGTCCAAATGAGTCCAGGGCCCAGAAGTTGACCCCTGACCATGATCCTAAGAATCATCCTGATGTCATAGTGATAGCAATGAACCAGGAGCTTCAGTAGCAGCTGGGGCCAGGTGCTGGCCATCGTGTGCTCCAACATTGATGTAACGCCTTGGCACCAAAACGCACGGGCTTGATGTGCTCGCTGGGCAACTTGTGAAGCAACCTCAAGATCTTCAAGATCGGATCATAGCGCTCGTTTCAATCAACTTGCAATCCAGTGTCAACTATGACTGCTTGAAACATTTAGCCTGCATAAATTTGCTTGACGGCTTAGCTTCACCTATCTTAATCAAATTCGGTCAGGCACAGCTATACAAAGCACGCTCGAATCGAGTTCCGCAGTCTTCAGCTGCTCCCTCCAACGAGCTGCGCAAGAGCTACAGTAATTTGTGGTTAGTCGGATGAGTCCTCACTCCGCTGGCGGCTGATATATTTCAAGAGCTCGTCCAGGATCAGCACGGGAAGTGAGAAAGCCGCAACCAGCACCCAATCATGCGCATCTAAAGGGCACACCCCGAAGATCTGCGCCAAGGGTGTGTAAAGGATCAAGCAATGCAGGGCCGCGGAAATCGCACACGCTGTCACCAAGTATGGGTTGAGCCATGGGGGGCGGGTCAGCAAACTGCCATCTTCTGAGACTGCATTGAAGGCGTTCAGCAGTTGGATCATCACCTGTACCCAAGCACTCCGCGTTTGGCACCTTTACATACCTTTACCATCGTTTACCTACTAGTGGGGGGTGGTTTCAGGGTCAGTGTAGTCCGGGTCAGTCAGGTCCCATGGTCCAAAACTGCTGGAGTCCGTCGTTCTCCGTCGTCCGGGCGGTCCCTGCCACCCAAATATTGGGAGGCCAGGCCTAACCTGACATCAACCGACATCCTGCGCCCGTAATGCCCTAGTAAAAAAAACGACCTTGTCCCCGGCTCCGCTGTTGTAACCATCCGCGCGTGTGACTGTCTGTCCTTGTCCACATCCAGAGTCTCCCACATCGAAAGCCACCTTAACCCTCCGCGCCCCCCCGACCTGGCAAAGGATCGGGGACACTCCTTGAGATTCCCAAGGAGTTTCTGCACAAAACACCTAATGAAGTCGTCCTCCTCCAAACCGCTATCCCACTATCCGCAGTTCATCTCCCAAGACCAAGTGACCAGGACCGTGATGGAGAGCGTAGCTGCCTTGACTTTCCCGACAGTGAAGTAGCTGCATGGATCGGCTGAGAAGTCCAAACCCATCATAGGCACCTGACGTTGACGGCTGAGAAGTTCAAACCAGCCGGATGCAAAGAAAAAGACCAGCTGAAGAGCCGAGCGAAGCTTCACTGCGCTTGGGTCAAGGAGGGGGGAACATGTGAACACTCAAATGCGGCTACATGCAGCAACTGCAGTGGTGACTTACCATGTTCTTCTGGTATCAACAATTGTTTTGATGCACAGCAGCAGGCCAAAACAGTATTTCGCACTCGAAGAAACAAGATCACCCCTCCACGAGGGGTCAACAAAACATGGCACACCGCAATCGAATCGCGGTCGTTTTCACTCCGTGGAAACTGAGCCCAAGACGTCTGTGGTTCATGTCTTCATGACATGGCTGCGGGAGACCTCATGCTGTCCTCATGACTCCATTTCAAGTGACTCAGCCCCCAAAAATTCTGTCTCCCCCAGCCTGTCTTCAGGCGTTGGTCGCTTTGTTTCCCCCTTTGGAGGACGTCTGCTTCCTCCTCAATGCGGAGATGGTTGCTCTGCAACATCCGCAACAGAGGCTCGGTGTGAGCGCCATCCAACTTCGTCAGAGCATCTGACGGGTTCAAGTTGTGCGGAAGCCATCTTGCTCTGCCACCAACCACGGACATTGATTCTTTGATGATTGCAATCTCTAGGGCGCTTCTGTCATCTTCTCCGCTGCACTGATCTGAGTTCAGTGCATCGAACAGGCTTTTCGCGTCCATGATGATGACCGCATTGGGGTCGCAGAAGGCTTCCGACTCCTTCGCGATCACGGTGCTCTTTCCCAAAGCTGCCAGCTTCTCATCTTCCGTCCTCTGGCGAGAGCGAGGCTGAAAGCCAGAAATCCGGATGGATTCCATGAAGGCGTCTTGCCTTTCTAAAGCTGCCGTGGCCGCGCTCATCGAGATGGCCTCACACAGCAAAGACGAGGCTGCCTTTCTTCGAAGGCGTTTGGACCGCCACTGCATCAAGCTCACAGGCGCTAGCTTGCCCTGATTCAGCAGCTGGTTGGTGAAGCCAAGCAACCAACCGTGCTGGCTCTTCTCCTTTCCCGAAGTGTCAAAGGCACTGTCTGCAACCAGGACACAGCGCAAGTCCTTCTCGGCAGAAAGAAAAATCCTCCATCTGACGGAGCCTCCGTCCGGCATAGTTCGAGCCTTGCCCACTTGACAAGGCATCCACCTTGCCAAACACGAGCATCGACTCCATTCGCTTCATCAGCTCTTGGTGTCGAGCGTTTCCAGCTTCACAAATGTCGTCAACTTCAATCACCAGGAAACCCTCAGTCAGCTGCTTGACATTGTCGGGCGGAGGTTCTTTGGAAGGTGCTGCAGGAAGGGTCAAAATGCACTTGTCATACACATTGACCTCAAAACCAAGGTCCTCAGTCAACATCTTGATGAGGCTTCGTCGCCACCAGGAAGGTCCAGACACAAGGCCATAGACTTCAGTCTCAAGCATCAGGAGTTGGCGAGGGTCGTAGCCAGCAAGACTTTCATCCTTCGGCTGTCTGATCGCGAGCTTCCGCTTGCGAGTGGTTGGAAGCGCTTGCAAGAAGGCTGTCTTCACATCCCTCACCCTGCAATGCCATTGCCTCGAAGCAGCTAGCTGAAGGCAGCAATGCAGTGAAGTCGACAGTGGTGTAGGCGACGACCTCTCCACCTCCATAATCTGCGGATCTTCCCAGCCAATGACGCAAAGCCTTGACTTTGGGTTTTGTTGGTCCTCCTCCAGAGCAATGGCCTCGAGGTGGCCTTCATCGATCGCTCGCTTCTTGTAGTTCTCGATTTGGTTCTCTGCCACATCTTTCGGTTTGAAGCGATCAACGAACCTAGAGTTGATAACTTGCTCTGGAAACTGCTCCTCAAACGCGATGCTTTCCTCCACCGACATCACCCGCACAGCCTTGTTCTTGATCAAGCTTTCCACCTCCTTCAAACGAGACTTCCTGAACTTCACTTTCTCCTCTTCCGGCAGGTTGCGGAACTCCACTTGTCCAAAAGAGGATTTCGCCTTGCCCACATACATGCAGCGATCGCGAGGACAGAAACTGGCCTCGGCATCGTTGGCACTGAAGGTGCTGTTGGACATGGCCATTGGTTGAAGTACAGGCCGTTGTTGCTCTCGGTTGTACCTCCACGTCGCTCCAATGAAGGGTGAACGACTTTGGAACTGCAGCAAAATGTCATCCTTGTCAAAGTCCATCACCTCCATGTAGAAAGAGCGGCTCGGTGGAGGTTCTGGTAGTGGAGGTCGTTCTTGGTCATACGGATAAGGCATTCTTGGAGCGCGAGATGGCGGGACAAAGCCAACAGGCGGTGTCTCAGGCACCTCCTGGTAGGGAGTGGATCGCATCCGTGGTGCAGTTGGAGCAGGGCCAAAGTGCATTGTCCCATGTGGACCTTCATCCACTCGAACGGTGGTTCTAGTCGGCTCAACTGGAGCCGATGGGGTTTCCATGGTCTCGTCATTCTCATTGACCTCGTTCTCTTTAATGGGAGGCAAAGCCATGGGAGCATCTTCAGTATCGTTCGTGTGAACACTGGCTCGTCTGCTAGGGTTCTGTGACAAAGGTGGAGCTGTGGTAGCCTCTTCTGAGATCATCTCTTCATCTTCATCAACACTTGAAGGTTGATAGGTGCTTCCTGCAGAGCCGGACTCAGCTGGTGGGGCATCATGAGGTGCCTCAGAAATTCGAAGAACTCTGCGTGCTTCTTCCAAGTCTTCGTCCTGCGGGAAGGTCTCAGAAGTGACATCTTGGTAGGCAATCTGGTTGTGTCCTTCTTTGCGGCTAAGCTTCTCCAACATCTCCTTGGAGAGTTCAACCACTAGTTCAGCTCCCAGCTCCTCCTCTGGTGTTGCTGGTCGAAGTTGTTCGCGAGCGGCTCGCCATAGTCGACCTCTCATAGAGACCCATGCCGATCTGTCACTCAAGTCAGCCATCAAAAGAACTCCAGGGCCAACCCACCCATGGTACGAAGGTGAGTCCCGGAAGACATAGACCCAAGTGCCAGGGGCAAGGTCCTTGAGGTCGGCGGTGCGGCTACGAGCCTTGAGTGCTCGCCGGACCGCTCCCAGGTCTTGGCGTTGCAACCATGACTTGGTGGCTGCCTCTCTGATCTCCCACGAGCGTCTGATCGCATCTGGCGCCGCTGCTTCTACAAGTTCACGATCAAGTGAGTCCGTAGCCATCAGTGAAGAAGGAAGGCGAAGCGACTTTCCAAAGACTCGCTGCATTGGAGAGAAGCCGTGCCTGTCCATGTAGCGGTTGCGGCTGCTAACAGTTTCAGAGATCACAAGTGGAAGTTCTTCAAAGGAAGCCACTGTCTCATGGATGGTGCTCATGATCTTCTGCTTCAGAATCCCACCCGCTTTTTCAGTGCGGGTGTTTTGCCACGGGCTTTCAGCGTCTGTGTAGTGAAGACCTGCGCCCATGCCGCCGATTGTCTGCTGGAAGTGAAAATTGTCGAACTCCCGACCCTTGTCTAAAATGAGAAGTGTCGGAACACCGTAGTGCTTGATCCACTCATTGGCAAAAACGTTAACAATCTCTTCAGCTGATTTGTTGCGGCAGAGACTGGCTTGCTGGAAATTGGTGCCCCAGCATACCATGTTGAGCAAAATGTTCTGCTGTCCAAAAGCTTCCAAAAAACACAGGTCCAGCCCCACCACTTGGTTGAATTCCAAAGCTCGGAGAAGATGCCCGGGTCGATGTGGTGATGGCCTCACTCGAGCATCGCACGTTGGGCATCGAAAGTGATCTTTTGTCCACCGAATGATGTCCTCTCGAGCCCCGGAGGCTTCAGAGCCCGCACGAAGATTTCTCGAGCAGGATGTCCAAGGTTTCTGTGGACCCGGTGAACCTCTCGACGAAGTTGTGGTTCCAAAGAGAAAGCTCCATCGTCCACTCTCTGGAAAGTCTCCGTTTTCTCAAGCGCTTCTTTCAAGCGCGGCTGGTCCTCGATGGTCTTCATTTCCTTGCGAAGAGCTTGCACTGCGTCAAAGTCCTCCGCATCATCCTCTTCGGCTTCATGCTCTGTGGGCCAGGCATGGGTAGTCTTACCGTAGGTCTCCTCAATCTCGCGATCTATGGAGACTGTCTCTTCTGCCTGGTCTCGGATGATCTGGCCCAGAGCTCGTCCCCATTGAAGCCATTGATGGCCTTGAGGATGTGGCGCTGATGTCGCCTTTGCAACCTGCAGTCCAAGAGCAGCCTTGATGCCATTCATCAGGGCTTGCACCAACTGAGGGGTGTAGACTGCTGCTTCCTTTGCTGAGCCACCGAGAAGCATGCCGTGCTTGTGGTTCTTGAGACATTTCTTTTCCAAGTAGTCAGCCAGGCCATCGATGTTGGTGGCCAGGCAGGTGGGCTTTCGGACAAGCATGCCCTTGAAGGGTCCCTTGTGAGCTCGAAGTGCAAAACGACATTGATCCAGGTAGATGCGGTAGACATCAGGGTGGTCGAGCAGCGTCAGCGTTGAAGGTCGCTGCCAAGACGTAGCTGGCTTGGGCTGCTCTAGAACAAAGCCTCTACCTTCATTCATCTGCTCCGTGGCGAGTTCATTGGAAAAGTCAAGGTGGTCATCACCTTCTGCTTCCTCTTCTTTGACCAACCAGGATGGTCTCTTGTAGTTGGAGAGCCGTCGGAGCGGTGAGAATGTCGTGCACGGTGGACTCAACAAGAGAACTGCTGGTCGATGTTTTCTGACCAGTTCACGGGCCTTTTGTCTTTGTGCTGGATCTCGGAAGTCCCAACCAGTGGTGAGGTCGAGGGCAATGGATGCTCGTAGTCCTTGTCGTCGCGCTTCCTTGCTCACTCTTGGGGGCGAATAGACCTCTCCCACATGGTCCAGGTACTTCGTGATCTGCGCCAGGATGCTTTGGCGCTCACTCCTTTCAAGCGTCTTGGGTGCTCCATCAAAATCGGAGCGGGCCAGCTCTTTCAGACTGGCATTCACAGGAAAAACAGCAAAAGTTGCCGGTGTGGAAGTCCCAAACGGCATTGGTGAATTCGTTGAAGTCTGTCCTGAAGGATCACCGGACTCCATCCGGGAACCCAGCCAAGCAATTCGGGCTGAGGCTTCAGGAACCATGCACAAAACGGACACTGTCATCAACATGGCCGCCATAGAGCTCTTGGAGCGACTGGTGAGAGGGCTCTTCGAGCATCTGGCCATTCCTTGGGACGAGGGCAAAGGACAGGGTGTCGTAGGTGAAGCCAAAGTCTTCATCGTGGTGCTCGTAGTGCACGTGTAGCCCTTGCCCTCCTCAGTCTCATTCATGAGGAGACGACCTGAATGCTCTCCTCGCTGTTTTCCGAAGAGTGGATCTCGAACTGTTCGGCCCGCTCTGACACACGAGCGGTGCGAGGCTTGGTGCGACTCTGCATCGGCCGCACTCCCGAGCTCATGTGACGACGCCGCTCGGCGCTCTGAGATCGAGACCCTGATGGGAGCCTGCCGCTTGTCATCTTTCCCTGAGGTCGTTCCTCCTCCAACTCCGCTGGGGACCTCAGCCATGATGGTGTGGTCGGAGCCGCCAGGGGATCCGGTGTTGCATTGGATGCATAGCCTTGAAGCATCAGCTGTTGTTCCGGCCTTGGCGTTGCCATCCCGGATTGGGCCGTGATGTCCTTCACGATCAAGGTAGCCAGCTCGGGCCTTGACTTCGGTGGCGGCAGCTTCTGAGGATACGGATTGTCGGAGTGGGTCATGATCTCGATGGGAGTGGGAGTCGCCGGATTCTCTGTGGAAGAGCGAGCTCCGGAGCGGCGGTTGATCTCCTCGTCCGCTTGCCATTCGACTCTCTCCCAACGGCTGCCGCAATCCAGGCATGTCCACCAGAACTGATCCTTGGAACCCCTCTGGCGCAGCTTGTCGTCGTCGTGTTGGCATTCCGATGGCGTGTAGCGCCATGTTGCACAAGCCGTGGAACGCTTCAAAGGCCTTCCAATGCCTCGCCGGATGCGGCCGTCGCCCTTGGTCTTCTTGCTCTTGGTCTCCTTCTCGGTGACCTGGGTTGAGGCGACTGCCGGATACTTGTTCCGGTTCATCAGGTGATCCATGGCCGACTGGCAGATCACTGAGATCAGCATGCGCACGGTCATCTGCACCATGCGAGCCCATGCAGCTTCCAACTTCTTGGAATTCCGGCGTCGAGGCGCCTGTTGGCTCTCTTGATCCGACTTGTAGAGCCATCCTGCAATGCGACTCTGCATGCTGCTGAAGAGGTCGAGACGATTGGCTTGAACCACGAGCCAACTCTGCAGAAAAGGAAGCTGACTCGGCTGGCGACATCGAAATGCTTGAAGTGCCAAAGGAAACTGCTTTCTTGCCAAAAGACTCAACTGCTCTGTCAGGAAAACTTCATGAACATGTGCTTGCCTCTCTTCAACCAACGCCAAAACACTGCTCTTTGGGTCCTGCACCTCTTCGCTTGCATCCGCCGTAGATGGCTTGGCAGCCTGAGGCGAGTGCAGAGTGGTTGCCATTGAGGTTGAAGTGGGGTTCAAAGAAGGTGTCGAAGAGGGTGCAGGGGTCGACGAAAGCTCGAAAAACACGTCACCCGACCAAAAAGGAAGTTGGCGTTGAGAAGGAAGGTGCCATGAATCATGGATTGTGATGGTATTGTCGTCCAAAAAGTGGGCACATGTAGTTCGGGATCGTGACAAAGAAGGCTTCAGGGCAGTAGGGAGGATCTCGTCCGGGTGGACCAAGGTGTTGCGACCCGGCATGGATCCCATGAAGACCAAATCAGCTCCTCTTTTCAGCCAAACAGCGACTCCAGGTCGTTGCTGAAGCCTGTCACCTCCTTGGGCTTTAGGCAGAACAAAAGGATTGGCTCCTGACGTCATGGTGAGCTCTTGCGCCAGGCTCTCTGGCAACTTCCATCGTCCAGCAAACTCCAACACCGAAATGGTGCGATGCCCTGATGGGAGCCGGCGCATTGGTGTCTTTCTGCCTCCCTTCAAGGCAAAAAGATTTCGTCCTGTGTCTATGATTCCTCCAACCAGCTCGATGTACGAGATGGGCAAAAGGAAAGGCGTCTCGAAGCTGCCAGCATCAGCGACTTCTGTCACTCGCAACAAGCCATTGGTCTTGGCTATGCCAACCGGAACGTCAAAGACACCCCTGATGGTGGCTGAGCCGCCAATGCCTGCACAAGTCGCTGTGGTGCCTGGAGCTTCCATAGGCTGCAATCCATGTTGAGCCAATGCCAACCTCAGTCGCTGCATTGCATTGGACCCAATGACAGCCTCTTCGGCTGCAGTGTCTACTACAGCCTCAAAGCTCTCAGTTCGAACTCCAGCAAAAATCTCCAGCTGCTTTTGCACGGTCGGGTTCACGTTGACCGCATAGATCCTGGTCTGTTCCCGACCAGTGCCATGGCAAACAAAGAAATTCTGTGGAGCATCTTGATGCGGACAGTCTCGAGACATGTGGCCGAGGCCACCGCAGGAAAAACACTTGGTTCTGGACATGAGGTCGTCTGGAGTGCCGCGACCTCTGCCTTTGCCAATGGAGCTTCCCTTGCCTTTGCCTTTCTTGAAGGCACCTTTGGTCTTCCCTTTCTTCTGCACGGGCATTCCTGAACCCTTCTTGAAGAACTGACGTCCCTTTCTACGGGCCTGCAACTCACGACGCACGTCCTTGTAGGCGCTGTTGTACGCCCAGATGTACGTGGCCTCCTCCTCAGTATACTCCTCTTGAGGGTCGAAGAGGAGGTAGGTCAGGTTGCCTTGACCGTCACTTTCTGGTCCTTCACTTTCCTCATGGCCATCGTTGTCTTCGATGAGCTCTTCCTCATCATCTTCTGCCTCAGCTGCGCCAACATAGGTCGAAGCAGCTGCGAAGTTCTTTGTCACCTTCTGAACCAAGGCATCGGGCCTGTCCAGTGGCCGCAGTGCTGCGGCCGCCTGCTCAAAGGTCAACAGCGCGTTGTACTTCACCGCCATGGCCTCTCTCTGGGCATCCGAGAGGTTTGCGTGCCTCAAAAGAATCCTGCCAGCGATCCTGGGAGGAAGCTTCTCCCCCAGGTGTGACTCCAACTCCTGCAAGGCAATCTCTTTGGTTGCAACGTAGCTTGACAAGTTCTCGTTCTTGTTCCGCTCGGTGCCATAGAAGAAGGCCTCAATGGCGGCTGGACCTGCAGCTTCCAAGTAGGGCCCGTACTTGGCCATTATGGCCGTAAGAATTGCAGCATAGCCATTCTCCGATGTCAAAGTCGCCAAATCAACAGCTTCTGCAATCCGTCGAGGCGGCGTCTGATCACCGAAGGCCTGCAGCAATTTGAGTCCCCACTTGTGTCGAGGCAGATTGTTGTCCATCTCCCACAATGTCAACTGTCGAAGCCACGATCTCAAAGTAGCAACATCGCCACTCCAAGTCGGAAGCGATTTCCGATCGCCAGACAACGCAGCTGTCAATGCTTTCAACATGGTCTCCTGAGGATCAACCGGCACAGTTGCAGCTGCATGAGCCGGTTTTCCCAGCATCTCAAAAGCACTAGAAACAACTGGTGAAGTCGGTGGCAATGCTGTGGCATCCAACTGCTGACAAAGACCAGCTGCAGAGAAGGGTGTGGGCATTGGTGCACTCGCTCCAGCGTTCGCTGAGCCAAGGTTTGGCGCAGTCTGAGCCAGGTTCCCTCTTGAAGGGGGTTGACCCATAGTCTGCCCTACACCATTCAAACCCTGCTGTCCAATCCCTTGGGGAGGCGGACCAAAAGAAAAAGGTTGACTAAACATGCCATGAGCTCCTGCTTGCTGAGCATTCTGCGGAGTAGGGCTCATCAAAGGGTTCGCCATCATTGGCGTTGCATTCGCCGAAGTGACGAAGTTCCCAACCAGTCGAGGGTCTGATCCAAGCGTTCCTGAGGAAGTCATCCTTGGTCCCCCGAAAGTCGGCACTGCACCTGAGCAGCTCGAGACACCTGGAAAGGCAGCTCTATTCGAAGCATCGCCTGACGGCGCGGTAGTCGAAGGAGCTGCTCCCGACACGCCAGAGTAGTGCTGCCATGGATCTGTCCTAAGCCAGGGGTCCCTCGCAGCCATCGTGGCCAGTGCCTGGAGCAACCGTGGCTCCGCTGCCACTGATGCACAGCAGCAGGCCAAAACAGTATTTCGCACTCGAAGAAACAAGATCACCCCTCCACGAGGGGTCAACAAAACATGGCACACCGCAATCGAATCGCGGTCGTTTTCACTCCGTGGAAACTGAGCCCAAGACGTCTGTGGTTCATGCCTTCATGACATGGCTGCGGGAGACCTCATGCTGTCCTCATGACTCCATTTCAAGTGACTCAGTTTGACTGCCGGGTTGAGCGGGACATGTTCGACGTCTGGAGTAACGTCATGTAGATGTTTGATGATGTTGTACCTCTTCCTACTTCCTATCATGGAAAATATTGAACAACTGAATCTGGCCTCTGACATTCTCCAACCATTCTTCGTCCAAGACACTGCTGAAAAGCTGGGCTCCCAAGAGGAACAAACACCCCAATTCATGAGCTGATCCAACGAAACCAGGGTGTGGCCCGGTTCGGGGTCTGCCGTGAACCTGAGAGACGGAGGAAGGGCCGAAGGTCAAGGGGAGGTCTTCTGATTTGAGATTTGGGGTATTCTGGGAGATCTGAGGGAAGAAAGGGCATGAAGGAATCAAGAAATGCCTGTAAGCAATCTCAGGAAACCAGTAGATGAAGACGCCCACCGTGGCCAAGCCCACATATAGACCGATCATCAAGTATCTGAAGAGCGCCCAGCCTGAAATCAAACCATCATCCTGAAGGGCTTGCAAAAGATGTTTGCCTGCTTCCTCTACAGGCTGTGTCTTTCCTTCCACCTGCCGACTCCAAGTGACCAAGTGCAGCACCCCAGTTGGAACCCACCCCTCCCGAACCCCGGTTGACGCACTTGTGTTCCTTGGGAAACAAGTATGGTTTCCCGGTCGCACGACGATCCCCATCCTTCTCACCTCCCGCGTCTCGTTACCCGTCTCGCGTCTCGGTGACCGGCAGTCCTTCCGCCGAGGCGGCTCCGACATGACCCCCTCGTCCGGTGGGTTGAAGCCCAAGGCGGTCGCGGGCAGGCCATCCGTGACCAGGTTCACCCACCTGTTCGCTGGACGCAGGCTCCGCTGCATATGAAGGAGCTGGGGTGAGATGACTGGGGAGATGAATGTAGTGCTAATCCGCGAGCGGTTCCTGGGTGTTACAAAGTCCGAGGGCTGTAAGCTTACCAAGTCTGGGTGGGGGAGCAGTTCTCATCAGTTCTCCAAGAAGGATTCACTATTGCTCCATGGGTGTCCTGTTTCTACTAAGAGATAAAGTGTAATCAAACAAACTGCTGCACTGCCTCCCCCAAAACAACAAACAAACATAAAAGTATGTTTATGTATGCATGCATGCATGCATCTGTTTATTGGTAAGTATGTATGTACATGTATATGTATATGTATATGTGTAATTATGTATGTATATATATATATATACATTGATATGTGTTAACTATACGCTCCATGCACATCTTCAGCGTCAACCTTTCTCTTTGCTGGGACCTGGTCACCACCATTCAATCCCTCCCACTCATCCCGTGGTGAGCTGGTCCCATACAAACCCAACTGCAGCCCGGGTCACAAGAGCTGCACCGACGCCAAGCTCTCGGGGATTCCCAAAGCAGCAGTGAGGAAGATTGAGGCAACTTCTCCGATGTTGGAGGAGATCCTGGGCTGCCAAGAATGCCAATATCATATCAAACAATTTAAAGACAGATTAAATATATGCGATATAATGCGATATATATGTTGCTCAAGTACTGCGCCCAAGCATGATTGGCCTTGGCCTTAGGCTTTAGAGACCTCACTGCCCACAAGGTAAACAGGAAGCTCTGCATCTCATCTGAGGATCAGGTAGCGGATCACTGCCTTCATGTTCTTAAAGATCGATCGGCCCTGCTCCACAGCGGCCACGATAGAGGAGAAGTTGTCGTTCGCCAAGACCATGTCCGAGGCCTCTTTGGCCACTTCAGTGCCACCTAGGCCCATGGCCACACCGATGTCCGCCTGTTTCAAGGCAGGCCTCAGGTCGGCCAAAGCACCAAGTGAAGCACGCCAAACACCCCAAAATTACAGTCGATAAGAGTTACTGAGCCAAGTGATCTTGCTAGTAGCGATGCCAGGAGCCCCGATCGTAGCGTCCGATCGCTCCTAGTAGTAAGGCCAGGAGCCCCTAGTAGCTTCTGTATATAATATATGGCATAGTTTGCTCCAAAAATGAAAGTTTATGTTTATGGGGTTCGGAAGGTGAGGACTTCCTCCACCAAATGTGGTCGCTAAGTTGGTGATGTTCCAATGGCGGAGTTTGGGTCCAAAGTCCCCTAATATATGTTTATACGTTGAAATGTTGGGGAGGGCCATGCCATAGGACCATAGGGTTCACCGCTTCAAACATGCTAGGAATGACTCATGGCGAAGCCATGCGAAGCCCAAATGGATCCAAATGATGGTCATCTACGCTCCGCCTTAGGGCGATCGAATTGAGACTTATATACTTATGTCATCCTATGTGGCTCCGCTTTTGCACTTCCAGGTTAGTGAGTGGGAGTGTCACGGGTCAAACACCCAGCGGCGCATCATTCACGCCATCCCCGGTCATTGCCACAATCTCATCCTGCTCCTGGACACCGATGATGGGGTGGTAAGTGCATGGAGGCAGAATACGGCGCAATGGTGTGAAGATGTCCTAAGCACCAGTGCTGAGATGGATTGCGTATGATTACATACAGTATGGCCCTTCCACACCACACAAACCAATCATGTCACTGTCAAAAAATAACCCTTTCAGCTGTCGAGCAAGAACCTGGAGCAAAAGAAACATCCAACATCATCCAACAAGACCAGGTAACTGAAGAAGAGACATGATGAGACATGCAGAAAATAAAGAGCACATTGGGAATTGGGAACACAAAAGTCTATGTTGTTGTTGATTTCGGAAGTCCCTGCCACTCATGTGGCCAGCCATCCACGGCCCAGTTCCTTCAACATCTTCACCACGATCTGCTTGTGCTTCGGCTCCATCCGTGAGAAAACGGCGCCCTCCTTGCCGCGGTCCGCCATCATCCGTCGCAGCACTTGCGCCCGTTGGGCCTGGAAAAAGCAGAACCAAGGGCGGGCCTAAACCAGCTGCACTGCGCCCAAAACGCTCAATCCAACAAATTGACCGGAACACATCGAAGAATCAAAACAAACGGGACATAGTAACATTGGGATCTCAAGCTGACATAAAACACTAATACAAACTCACTGACTCTAAGTACAGTGTGCTAGACGTATCCATTTTGAAAATGCCCGCGCTGGATGCCTGGGCCTAGCTGGCTGCTAGATCCGGTCCTTCGCTCGGCCCCGGTCGCCGTCGTCGCCCCCCCCCCAGCGGGCGGTCGAGATGCCTCGGGCATTTCTTCAAACTCACGGCCCCCCAAGGACTTCACCGACAGGTCTGAGTCAGGAGACCTGAGTCAGGCATGTCTTGGGTGTTTTTGGGCGACCGCAAGGCATTTGGGAGGGCGGACATGATGAGAAACACTCGGATGAACACATTTTGGAAGCAGAACATATACAGGTGCATGGGAAGACGATGTTGATCAATGTTGCTCAAAATGAACGGAGGTCTTCCATGTTATTGAGTCGGAGAGCAAGGCCATTGGAGAGGGGTTTACCCCTAGATTGCATCCTCCACATCCCCCCCAACCGCCCCTCATTGGGAAGCGGGGCGATTCTGATTTCCTCCGAGCGGCAGGATCCCCAGCTGCCGACTGATGGCCTCGGCCGTGGCCTTGTTGTCGCCCGTGGTCATGAAGACGCTGATACCCGCCTGATGCCCATGGCGCCACGGAAGAAAAGGTACACCCCTCAAGACTCTTGGCTCAATGTGTTTAATAGTGATGCATGCACTTTGCTAAAAATGGTCTTTGGCATTTGACCGGACAAGGTGTCCTAGATGGCCGGTCAGTGTGCATTCCTCATGGCCAGCATTATGACTCGGGCAACATCACCACTGGTACCCATGGTCGTCTAAGGTCTACAAATGTCTACGATACCGGTGGCCGGTGGCAAAGATTCCCTGAACCTACTTGAGAACAGCCTAGGTTCTTCTTGGGCCAGAAGATCATCACAACTAACAGTAACTAACAAACATATGCGGCTGAGATAGGATCCAATGACACAGCCAAGCATGTAACTCCACATGAAGAAAAACAACACCTCAATTCATCCTCCCAGCTTGGAGCCCCAGACACCCGTGCCAGCACGCGCATCGGGTTTGGCGCATGCTTCGCGGCACCTCCTTGCAGGCGGTAATGGCATCCATGCATTCCGGTCTCGGAGGGTCGATGATGCCCACCATGCCCAGGAAGGCCATGTTCTGCTCCACCTGACAAACGTCTGGAGCTGTTCTGAAATGCAGACCATTTCAGGGCCACAAGAAACAAGATTGGAAAAAGGGCACGGTGATGGTTCTGGCAGGTCTTGGAAATTTCAGCACTTATGTTGTAGGGAGCTTTGGTCCAAAATGTTAAGAGGAATGCCATGTCAAGACTTGGGCAACTCACAAGCCCCAGACACCTGACCCAAGCATTTGGACTAGTCTTGTCCGAAAGAGACAAGGGCGGCCGGCCTGAGCGAAGTTCGAAGGATCGCAAAGTTTGGAATGGCCCACATGAGTGGGGCCATCGTAGTCTTGCAGCTGTGAATCCTTCAAGTCAAACTTCACCGCCAAGGCCAAGGTCCTGCATGGAGCTGCTTGCTGCTGGGCTTGCTTGAACACCATGAGGGCCCGACTCCGTGTGTCATTCGATATCCACTGTTTGTGCTAGGTCCGTTCACCGGACAAGAAGACACACTCTTTTAGGCCTTCGTGGGACATTGCGGCCGGAAATGGGCCCTCCAACAATGGGAGGAGATACTGTAATTAGTATATGAAAAACTTGACGTTCCTGCGGTGTCAGAGACGATTTGGATGAAAGTCCCAGTTGGTCTCATATTGGTCCAACTCTTTGAAGACCCAGACTTGAACTCCGCCCAGGTTTGCACCACTCCTGAGCGCTTCGCCTGCCATGTCCAGCATTTTTCCGAGAACTGCCTGCCGGGCATTCTCGGATAAAGGTTTTAAGGTTCCATCAGGCAGCATGATGCTGGAGCATCTGTCCAGGATGCTCTCTGGGGCACCCTTCACATAGAGCAGGTTCTCTGCTTGCACTTTGGGATCGTTGCACAGAACACTCATCGACTTGCGATCTCTGGCAAACTCCAGTGTAGCCCGCTTCTCTACATTTTGTCGCCAATAGTCATTGAAGACCTCACCATGCTCAAAAGGACACACATAAACCAAAGCACCATGAACTGCTTTCCTCACTGAACTTGCTGCTGAGCTGCCATGATGCTGTCTCGATCTCTCTCTTGTTTCAGATGTGCAGTCGCCATCTGCTCCTCTGGGCATCCCAGCTTCTCCACCAAGACTCTCAAAGCAGCCTCTGTCGGCTCCCCGGTGCGCACAATGGCGCCGCCTTCCAGGCTCAGCCGCGACTCGTTACAAAGGGCAGCCACCTTGCAGAAAAAGCCAAGCGCCTTGTGCCGCTCAAAGTCGATTGGGAAGTCCTCTCTGCAGAGGTGATCAGCGGTCAAGGACGATGGGAGGTGTGAACGCCATGCCAGGCAAACTTGAAGAGGAATCGGCAGTGACAACCTATTTATAGATCCAAAGGCCAAATGTCCAAAACCGGTCGGACATTCTCTGAGAAAAGAAGTGTTGTTGCTATATAGTAATCACACCACATATATATATATATATGCATAGTTGTATATAATATATATATGTCTATTTCAGAAATAGAGTTACGATTGGCAACACTATACATCTAAATTGGAATATGGTCACCAAATCCGTGAATCCACCCCTTCTTCTGCCGCTCGCGACCTCCACGGCCCCCACTTCCACCGGCGTCCTTCACTTCGCCGATGGGCGAGTACCCATTACCTCGCCGGCGGTCGTTCGGTGGGTCGTGAGCCCGCGGGAGCCCAGCAGGGCCGGGGTGACCGCAGGCAGCCAAGCCTAGCTTCTAAGATGATCTATGCCAATCAATGCATAGAAGGGTCACCTACACTCACAGGGTCGCTCCGGTCGAAGGAAGGCTAGGAAGGCTTTCCTGAAGGCAAGGCACCTCCTACACACCAGCTCTTTGCAGTTCCACACGACGGCGCTACGGCGCGGTCCGGATCAATGGCCACATGCTGTAGTTAAAACAATGAATCAATTGGAAACGCCAAACCCTATCGGGTGCTCGAGTGGCCAGGAGTTCCAAAAGAGATACAAAGGGTCCATGCCGTTTTGACGTCCCTCAACCACCTATCGAACCCATCACACCCCCTATAAAGAAAACCGTGGAAAAACTGCTAAAGCCTTTCTCTCAGGTGACCGTCCACTGTGAAGGCCCTCATTTCTTCCGCACTTTCCGGCAAAACCAGCTTGGTGCAGCACATTTCATTCCTTGGATGTGGCAAATGGTGGACTTAAAACTTCCCGGGAAATAACTAGATATGAATTCGACTCGCTAAGAAAGGCCATCAAACCTGAACAGCTTGAGGAAAAGCTTCTCAAGCAAATCCAGGCTTCAACGTTAATGTCCCGGTCTTGTCCGAACAAATGACTGTGGTACATCCTCCAGGGTCAAACCTAGCAACTATAACAGTGATCATGATAAGAAGTTATTACAGCACAAATAATCTCAAATAATGGTTCTATAGCAATGGAAGAGTTGCACAACGTTTTGGGGGACGACCAACAAGGCCAAGAACCACCACACTGTCCGGTCTTGCCCGGAGCAAATCAATCTACTGATCCCCCGAACCTGCTTTGTACCAACATAAAAGTCAAATGAACAGAATAACGGGCATGTATATAGCCCATCCACACGAAGACTGTGATGTGCGGGCGATCTGTGCTTTGAATGCCAAGCTAAACCATAAACATTGGATGAAGCAGTAGTTTCAGGTTTTCCGGTTTCCGCAGCCTTTACCCCAACAGTCACATGGTTGGATGGACGACAACCACCTCCGGAGGAAAAGAGTCAGAAGTCATCCTCCGAAAGGCACTGTTTTACCCAGCGAAGGCTTATTTAGGGGTTTTCAGCCAAAAGACTTTGGAGCAGATCGGAGAAGGTCCTGGAGGAGCTCGGGTGTACAGTGGTTTCAGAGTAGATGGCACAATCCCCAAGTTCAGTGGTTTATGAGGACCCCCATGAAAAGGACATCTTTGGGTTGGTGCCATCTACCCTGAAACCACTGTATAATTTGTTCTCTATGTTTCTTAGGTGGGTGTTTGACTCCTTGGCCATGAGGTCTCCCGCCTAAGGTTTCCACCGAGGGCAGCTTGCGCACGATGGCATTCCGCTCGGCCATCTGTTGGGTGCCCAGCGCTAGGCACGTGGTCACGACGGCAGGAAGGCCCTCGGGGATGGCGGCCACGGCTAAGGCCACTGCGATCTTGAAGTAATAGATGCAGCCTGGCAGAAAGTGGCAGCCAGGAGGTCAGCAAATTAGGAGCAGCTTAGAGCTATATACACGATAGGTGTGGAGTTTGTAGCACTTCCATGTTTGTTGGAGGGAGGGTGACCACCAGAGAACTTAAATAGCTTAAAAGTAAATGCAGCCTGGGAGGGTTTGTCATATTGCTGCGTATATAAACTATATATATATATATTTATATATATATATATACATATTTATGCACTGTACTATATTATGCATATGGTATGATATCAATATTTTGCCTCATTCCTGAGGTTCTGCAGGCAACTATGTTCTTAGGCGCTTAGAGTGTAGTGGGCCATCCCTCCTTGCTCCCTATACTGTAAGGCATCCTCACCATTCAATGGACCTAACCTGCTATGCATCCGGTGACTCATCCCATGCACTACCAATGTTAGATAATTACCCCATCCAGTGATGGCCGTGACGGCAGAGAATCCACGTACCGATTCCCCCATGGCGCCATGGCAATCCATGGCGCCATGGACAATCCGTGGGATGCTCAAAGGGCTCAAGGAATCTCCGTGTCCACCTGTTCTGTCATTACAGTAAGTATATGAAAGTATAGTGTAATGTATACATTTTTAGAAAACATTATATAATATGTATATATAATATAAATATATATATATATATATATTGTGCGTGTGAGTGTGTTCTACTGTACTTATATATATATATACTTATTGTATATTGTATTATACTGTACATGTATGCCTACCATATTCACATCCTGAACGAGGTGCTTCCCTCCCCTCCGATCCTCCAGTCCGGTCGAGCCGAAGCCCGGTCGCTCGTCTCGACCGAACACGTCGTGCTCGGCGTGTTTTGCCCGATGTTGGGGGGGCCGTCCCCCTCCTTGAAGAAAGGACCCGTGGACCGGATCAAAGAAGTGCTTGTAGTTGATGAGCCACACAATGACGCCTCAAAAAATCTGATTCACACAGCGCCATCACACAAAAGTCAAGCAAACAATTGGGAAGATTCTTGCCTTGCTTGACCAATCCCAGACACAAATCGCAAAGATGATTCTTGCCAAGGTGTTTCCAAACTCATCCAGCTTCTTCTGCAAGGGTGTCGGGTCCTTCTCGCCCGCAGCTTCGGTGACCGCGCCCTGGATGGCACCGATCTCCGTGGACATCCCAGTAGCCACCACACAGCCCACACAGGCGCCGTTGGAGATGGTCGTCGAGGCGAAGAGCATGTTGTTCTTGCCTGCAGTCGTCTGGTGATGGCCCGAACAAACCACGGCACGAGGGCCCACCGGCCCAGCGTTTCGGTTCGGTGAAACATTTGGCCTGTGAATCAGCTAGAGATATGGGCTTCTTCGGGGAGTGTGTTTTGACCTGGGGCCCAGTTAAGACCCGTTTGGATGGGAAACAACAAGTATTTTGGGTGGTGGGTGGTCCAAAAAAGAGGTCACTCAGGCTCGGTCGGTATATATCTATTGAAAACCCAGAGCCGGTTTACCGCGTGGGTCGCGCCGTCCATGGACGGCTCGCTCGCAAATTCGGGTTTCTGGTCGGCGCCTTGCAGCACCACCTGTGGATCGTCGACCACCTCAGGATCCTGGCGGGTGAGGTAGGACGGATCCACGTGGCGGCCAGGGGGATCCACGGTCAGACAGGTGGTGGTTTGAGGTGGTAGACGTATGGACCCCCATCTGTCTAGGACCTCTTCGGGTGACCAGTGCCATCGAACCTCTGAAAGCACTGTTTTGTGGCTGTGGTGCCAAACCAGTGGAAAATGAAAACAGCATAGACTACTATAGGGAGTAGGGAGGTCCACGGACCTGGGCTTAGGCCCACAGCCCTATAATAAACCTCTTGCAATCATTGCCAGGATTCTTGGAGGACCGTGCCAAATCTATGGGTGTTTATCTTTGCACTGAAAAGGGGCCTGGTAGCCTCGGTCGCCAGCACGTGAAAAACATGGATAAACTTTAGGAGGCTTACAGAGCCTTCAGCAAGCCTCAGGAAATGTCGGGAAGTCCTCCTAAAAATGAATTTCTGATTTCTGAAGCTGTCAGCCTGTATTTCTATTTTACCCTGACCATCCCTGACCTATTTTTTGAACCCGGGTACCCAGCAGTTTCTTCAGCCTGATGTGGTGAGAACTATATGGTGAATTTGTGTGATTCGTCACGGTTAGACCAATGTCCCAAGCCTTCATCACGCGCTTCATCCTTTCTGTGGCGGCTCGCTTCTCAAGGACTGGCTACTGGGATCTAGAGTAACTATATATGAACTAGCCCCCGCAAACAAACATGGAACCTGAGAATTGACCGGTGGAAGACCATTTTCCTCTACAACCCAGTGGTTTAAGGGTTCTATGTTAATCTGCAGGGGAGTATATGCATGGAGTTCGGACATGATCGAAGAGAGTCTTTCTCCTTGGGACCTAGTCTTAAGCCTGGCGGCTAGTTCCCCCAGAGCTGGTTATCCCGCCACTCTTCCAGCCGGTCCTTGATCACACTTTGGGTTTCTCCAGTGAGTTGACTTTGCTCCGCCCGCACCGTGGTGGTCTTGAGACGCACTAGGCGAATGTCCGCGGGGACCTCGCGGGGAGGAGCCAGCTCCAGCGAAAAGGGAATGGCATGAGGGAACAGCAGTTGGACATGGACAAGTCTCTGACTCGGACTACGTTCGGCGACTATCGATGTATGTTCATGATATACATTTATACATTGATCTATCGGTTGAATTTGCTGAGATGACATGTTGGCACGAGCAATTTAAGATCCACACTCATTCAAGACCCTCATCCACCGCTCCCCGCCTTATCGCCTGCTTTCACCTCGCAAACATCCCCAGGCACCACCTCCGTGGCATCGATCTGTCCCCAACGTCCGCCACGCAGCACTGTGGCGGTGTCGCTCTGGAGCTTCTTCAGCGAGTCCAGTGCCTTCTCTGCATTGGACTCCTGCCAGACTCCCACACACGCATTCAGCACCAGGATCATCAGGATCACCTGCAGCATCTTGCGATGTTGCGGGTTGCAAAGAACACATCTGTGGTTCTTGGGGCACTGTTGTGATGACAAATGGGAGGGCGGCTGGACTTGCCAGCAGAGCAAATGTTGCTGCTCCTAGCGGGTCCAACACCCTCACCAACCCACGTGGGTTTGAATAAAGAACATGTGAATGAAGTCATGTATTTTGGTGAATGGCTGGAAGGTTTAGCCAGGAAGGGTGTTGGCCAAAGGTTGATTTTCCGTGTATCGAATCGGGCTTTTGAGCAGTTGGTCCTCATGACCCAGCATGAGCATGAAAGGACCCCAGCATTCGATTCTCTGTCTAATCGCTTCAAAAGAAGTCAGCATGACTGGACCCCTACTTTGATATGTAATTAATGGCAATCGCTTCTATCTGTTTTGATCTATTTGGTATCTATTTGGTGCCCACCAAAGTCACCAGAAACAAAACAAGCGGCCCTGGTCCTCCAAGCGGCCAAAGGCTCGATGTAAGCAGACAAGCCTTCCTCTTTCTGATCAGTGTTGAAGTAGGCCAGCAAAAAGGACACCAAAGCAGAGAGAAGCAGGATGCGAACCAGCAAATCATCAAATTGCCTGACTTCGGCCAATTTCAGTAGAACTAAAATACACTGCGCACTACAACACTTTCCCCACACTTAAAGAAACTCACATTGTTTTGAACAAGCTCTCCGACTTGGCCCTAGTTGCTCTGCCACCAGTTCCCATAGTGACTTCTTCTCCTGCTCCAGTAGTTGGTTTGAACCATACTGATTCAGTTGCTGATTCACCTGCTCAGGTGACAGGCCCCTGTCCAAGGTCACGTTGAAAAAGTCCAGGACGGCCTCCAGTCACGTTGAACAGACAGATATATATATATATTATATAGTTATACAAGAGTTATATACACTGCCCGGAACTAACATGAAAGTGGAGAATGGCCCCGTGGAAGACCATTTTCCACTACAAACAGGTGGTTTTCCACTTCCATGTTAGTTTCAGGGAGGGTATATTTAAAAAATGCTGAACTTGTCGAACGTTCCCAACTACGACGTTCACAACCCATCGTTTTGCCCCGGCCTTCTCCGAAACGGCATGGGCCTCATCTGGCAAAGCCACAGTCGGGGTCACCTCCAGCACCGTCGCACCGGCCGCTCTGCGCGCTGGTGGCCGCGACGGAGGCCCGGCCGGGGCGACGAAGGCACGGCCCAGCCATCCAGCCACTGCCAGAAGGCCGAAGGAGGTCAGTGGTCGACGCCGGGGCGCCATCGGGAGATGTGTCTCGTCCCGTGGTTGAGATATGACAAACCTATAGCGCTCCATGGTTGTCCATGTTGGCTGGGATATGATGGGATGATGGAGAAGAGCTCCTAGGGTCTGGCTCAAGTATAGAGCTTCATCAACCATACTTGAACTCACCCTTCGGACATCTTCCCACCTTGTGTTGTACTAAGATACTGTTTGCTCAGGTCTTCTTCTGCTCTCAGGAGTTCGTGCTCTTTAATGGTGGGATCGGTCGCCAGGTCGGACTCCGTCGGATGCCATGTACTGAAGCCAAGCAGCTCAGGCAGGAATGCACATCGTCTCTTGCCCGGCCGAAAGACAAATGACGCACTAGCCGCTAGCGATCGTTTTGCAAACTGATGAACACATGTTTCATATGTGCATGTGCATTGGCTAAATGGTCCATTGGGAGGGTGAAAGCAATTTCAAAAAACCATAAAATACCAAAATACTGGCCTCTGTGGCGTCATATCGAAACTTCCACTGAGGCTGAGTTGGAAGGCAACTTGCCTAAAAATCCTTCAATGCAGAAGTCTACAGCTGTAAGCGCTGTATCGTGACACTCCTTCGTTGAACCCGACTCTTCGGGTTGAGAACGACCTACGGTAGCTGAGGGATGCAAAGCATGCAGCATGTTTGGCATGCTCACGTGGGTTTCTCCTCTGGTCAGTTGAAACCGCTCCTGAATCAAAGCTCTTGCTTACATCTCAGCACCCCACCCAGTCAAGGGAAAGCCTGCTGCCATGATCCTCTGGGCTGTTGGCCACACATTCTGCGTATCCACCTGCATGTCGGACATCAGCTCCAACATTGTGCAACATGACTTGTTAGGCCAGCCACCACGCAATTGAAAAAGAAAGAGAAAACAGCACACTTTTTCAGCCCATTCCCCGCGGTGTGCTTCCAATGCTTGCGGCGCTTCTGAGGTCCAAGCCAAGGTGGGAATACACCGCCCAGTGCCCACGTTCCGCTGCTTGCGAAGCTGTGCCACGTTGGCCTCACGCAACTGATTTCGCGGTTCCGGGTCCTTGCCGTGCAAACTTGCAGAAGTGAACAACCTCTTCCTGGTTTAGTCAGTGTTATAGCAATTGAGGGTAGAACTGGCCTGTTCGAACGGAAGGTGTGTGGCAACTCGTTGCTTTTCTTGGGCAATTCTGCATATCACACGGCGCACACACCTGAGATGCAAATGGATCATACATATAATAATAGGTCTATGTTCACTGGATTGGTTGAAGGTGAAGATTTGGAGGAAACCATTGTTTTCGCCCACTAACTATGGGGTTTGCTGTAAACGTTCCCTTAAGTAATAACTAATAAGCTGAAATGGAACAAGGATGAATCACAATCATGTCATATCAACTGAGAAATCAAACTTGAAGAACCACTCCACCAAAACAAGATTGGAGTCAAAGGAGAGGACCTCTTGGACCTCTGGTTGTTGCGGCCATGGTGGTAACTTGCTGCAGCCAGCCTTGTACTCCTCGAAATGCAGCAAAAAGTCCTGGCGAACAATTTGTTTGTCCGGCTTCGAACGACAGCCGGAACCAATCATGCGAGTGGCTCTTCCATGCGCGAACACTCCATTTGGCACGGCACGGCAAGGCAGCTTGAAAGCTCCACAGAACATTCAAGACATTGCAGAACACTCGCTCTGGCTTGCCAGTCACTGCTTGGATTTTGTTGACTCAGATTGGACTCCAAGTCAGGTCAGGCTAATCGTGGGTGTCAAGACGAGTGATGAGATACAGTCTGCTTGTTTCCCGGTGCTGAGATACAAATGATGTCAAATGATACAATCACCCGGTAATGGTTTCTTCTTCTTTTCAGATTTTGCAGTACCGGCAGCGCCTGGCTGTTCAGCCACTGAGGCCAATGGTGTACCAAGGAGTCAGGACGGAAGATTCTAACGTGGAGCCCTTAACATGGAGCCCAATGGCTCCGCCCGAAGTGGAAGACCTCACGAATGTAGACTCTTGATTATCTTAGATGGGTGAAACACCCCATATGAAGATACTTTTACAAGTCTAAATTGGGGCGGGCTTATTCAGCAAGAGTCTACATTGAATCATGAACCTGTCCCACTGCGCAACTCGAACGTCTTCGAACGGTGTTTATGATGCATAATGACCATCGCGGGGTAGGGTGCTTACAGCCCACCCGTCCAAAAGCTGCTTGGACACCCAGAAGCGGGATATTGTGGCTCTCGTCAGTTTGGAGAAATCGTGAGAAATCCGGAGCGAATCCTGTTAGTTCATCCGCCCTGGCAAACCTGGTGACCCTGTGCTCAGCACCATATCTCTAGCAGCGTCTAGAACGCCCTGGCCTTCGGCTCCGGGCCGCAAAAAAGGGGAGCGAGGTGCTCAGCTGGGCTGAAGAAAAGCACCTCTGCTTGGCACCTCTTTCAAGGGAAATGTCTGACGCCACTGCGTGGAGGCGTTCATCAAATTGCCAGAACAAGAATGAGAGGCTTCTTGGATGGTGGCCCATGGATCTTCTTGAAGTTCTGGTCATCGATTACCCTTGACCCTTCCAAACGCATGAGCAAGCGCTTGTCTATAAACAACTTTAACTCAGCGGCTCCTGAGAAAACGCCTTCTCAGTCACGAGCCCTTGGGAGCTGGCGATGAGAGGATCGGAAAAATGCGTGTTGGCCCAAACCGGTTGTTAGCCTTGCCGATGTTGCAGTCAAGGGCACCAAGGAAAGAAGTATATAAAACACCTATTTTCTTAAAATGCTATTTAGACTCTTTAGACGAATGCAACGTCGCAGGGAAATGACCCTCCAAGACTGGACAGTTACCCTCGACTGGAGACCTTTCTAGGACGTCCCCAAAATCAAACTTTCAAACAATCCTCAGATCGATGCTATTCCGATCTAATTCTTCATTCGCCCTGTCCCCAAAAACCTTAGTTCTCAGTCTCACTCTCTCACGAATTACTCTTTTTCCACTTAGCCGAGCTGCTGAACTTCACGAGATCCCCTTGCCCAAGCGGCTTCGGAGACCCTCCCGCTCGCCGGAGAGCCTGACTCACGGGCACCGGTCGTGGCCCGCTTTTTGGCCGAGCGCTCGGCGGCCTCGACCCGTCCCTGGTCTCCGAGAGCAGGTTTTGGAGGAGCCGTTGATCGGCTATCACTGACTGATTCCAGTCATACGCCCGGATGGCGTTTGTTCATGATGAAGTAAATCCAAGAGGGTTTGTCATCAAGTTCCTGATGTCAGGGGTGTCACATGACATGCTTACACTTGGCCTCCGAAAAAGGAGTAAACACAAGTCTGATTCTAATTACTTCACATCACGCCGTTTTGCAACCGGTCAAACGTCGAAAGCGCACGGTGACGTGACCTGTTCGCTGGGTGTCAAACATCGTTGCACCAATCGGTCGCATGAGAAAACCCATCTAGGTATGAGACGACCCGTGTCCAACAAACCTGGAAGTGGAAACAAAACTGTGCAAACAATATGAATATGATTTATAAGTCGTCTTCTGAGGTCCATGTGATTATATCATGCAAGTTTGTTGGAGAATAAGGACCTAAGAGTGAAGAAAAAGAACTGAATCACTCAAGATCATGGGCGCCGAGCCATGAACCACATGGACCAAGTACCAAGATCCTCCCAGATCTACTGCTGGACCAGCTTCAGCCCGGATCACCCGCATCTTCCTTCGGCCCAGCAGCTGGATCCGCCGCTCGCTCGGCGGGTCGTGATCGCTCCCCGGCGGTTTGTACTCGGGGCGCCGCACGCGGCAACAGCCGCCGCGGAGCTTTGAACCCAGAAGCCACCAGGATTGGAGGCCTCCAAGCCTCGGATGGGCGAACCCTGCAGATAAAGTCCGTTTGACAGAACTGGCCATGTAAAGAGATTCACTCCAAACTCTAAACACATCATATGGCTACGTGGATGGCATGGCCCCGAAAGGAAGACCACTTTCCCTTTACGAACCGGATTTGTGCAGTCGGAGAGTGTAATTCTGCAAATGTGCTGGCAAATGGGAGGTGACTGGAACATTGGCAATGAAGAATCACACCCTGGCTATCCTAGGACGAACATTTGAACGCCCGCCCTCCATGAGATTTGACTTGGAATGAAACAACTGCAAAATTGCGTGCTACGAGCATTGGTTGTCCCCAAAGCTTTAAACACTTGGAAAAACTAAGCGCTTCATATAAATCGTCAAGCCCAAAAAGTGGTCTGGTCTAAGCCCGGCGGCATTTCAAGCACGGCAACTCCGAGCTGCACAACGAGGTTGACAGCTAGAAGCATGATCGAAACATATAGGTGCCACTGGTATGACCTAGGTGTCAGGGTTGCACATCCAGCTTCAAGAGGCCTCAAACAAAATGCAACACAGCAGCATGAAGTTTAAATAGAAGTACTCCACGACTGCATCCTCGGCCAAGCGCTGACAACATCTGACAACTATGATAGATTCGATTGCAGTAAACGTAAGAAATTGCATGCACTACAGTATAGTAACTAGCAGGACATCAGGGTCATCACGATCGCAGAACATCCTGCCAGGCATCATAGCTTTGAACTCTTCTTGCAGCATCTCGCTTCCTTGGTATGACCCACTTACCGGCACCGGCCGAGGAAGACCGGCTGTTGATCGATGCCCGGCACTACAAGACCGCTACATTTTGAGCTCACATGCCTTTCATTGGCCCGGACTTCCTTTCGATCTCGGGTAAGAATGGTGAGAATGGTGATCCCCAATTCTTGATCAATTATACTCTGCAATATTGTGCAAGGTGCTGCATATGTTAATACTACAGTAAACTCTTCATTATGCTATAATTCCATGTCTATTCTTATATTATAATCAGTGATGCTCTGCACCTTGCCGTTTTTCGTCACACGCGCCGAACCCCATCCCACACGTACGAAACCGCACGTCTGTCCGTTCGCTCTTCCACGCGTCTGTCGGAGCTCTTCAATGGAGCTCTCTGGCATGGAGGCGCAGTCGGGATCCGGGCGCAAGCACACCCAGGCGCCCAAAAGAAGCGCCTGGAGTCAAAGGTGTCCACCACTAGCAGCTGTTATTGATGCTATTGCAGTGCTTGTAGACTTCATTCGGCAGTTGGGTTTGGGGTGCAACTCTTGGACGTGTCGGTGCGACGTTGGGCAGCTGGACCACATGCAAGCACATGCGGCCGCACCTTGACGGCCTCCACTGCCAAGCTTAGAATTCAATCCAAATGCCCTAGAACTCCCGAAAGCCTCCACCCCGGATTTATCCCCTAACCCCTGGTGGTGGGTGGAGGCTTCCTAGTCTGTTCTATCGCACGGTGGGAAAAGCCAGCGTCGGTGATCCCCATGGATCCCTCCGCTTCGTCTAAGCGAGAAGCCATGGACCGCTAGTGTGGCCCCCGAACCCAGTTGTTGTACCATGTTGTACCTATAGTCTACGGTTACATATACGGTTACTAGACCCATCAATTGCATTCAGTACTTCTTTGAGAGCCTTCAATTCCAAGCTCCAAAAATGCTCCTCTCTCCCCATCGAACCGCATCGCCCCGGGCGTGCATTCGCGCTCGCTTTGCGAGTCCGGCGCCTTCTCGATGACGGTCAAAGCTTGGAAGGTCAGGATAAAGGCGACCAAAAGAGTTCCATACTGTCCTGCCAGGTGCTCAGCTACTGGTTTTCTCTGGGAAGCATGTGCTTTCCAAGGCACGTGCGACATGCCATACAACAGACCTTAAGGCATTAGGAAGCCGAATCAGAACTGAATCTCCTCATGAAGGACTGCAGAATTATTGCAAGCTGTGATTCGAATCTGTTTGGGGGCCGGAGACCTCTACATGTTCAAAGAGAATGAACTGCCAGGAGTTATCAGTGAGTCATTGCCCTAACCCACAATGTCCACAATGACGTCCCATCCCTTCCAATCTTCTTGGTATATAGAGCAATTGTTGTTTCTCTGTCACCAATTCAGGTTTCCACAACCAAAAACTAGTACGAAATCAAAAACCACTCCCAGACTGAGTCCCCAATCCGCACCCGTGTTCAGTAGACAAACACACCCACCGCAGTCGCATCAGTCACCCTCCTGCTTCATGTCCGATTAAAAAAAAAGAACAGCCGTCAAAAAAATAATGAAAGCGCCACGAAAAAAGTCGGCGGGCTCCTCCCAGAGATTGGCTGTTCAGCACGAAGGGCACGGCACAAATCCACAAGACGCCCGAGAGCATCCTTGAGAGCGGAGGGCGTTTCGGGGGACATAGCCGATTCAAGAGATGATGAGACCAAACGGTTCTGAGGCCTTTAAGGTACTAAACTAATAAACATGCACCACTATATTAAAACCTATAATCACCTATATACTATCACCTATATATGCCACGTATGCCACGTATGCACTGATCCTCCACAGTGACCATGCCACCAATGTCACCAAACGTCCAAGACCTTTCATGACTTTTTTGGGGCCGCCCAGGCGCATCAAGATGGTTGGGCGACCAAAGACCCGCCAGAGTGCCAGAATGAAATAATTCAGCAGCACCAGCAGGACCACGGAGCGGATTTGGTCCACCATGGTGCCAAACACCACCTGACTCGTTCGTCGCGTCGTTTGTCGGGTCGGGTCTCTGGACGAAACCGCTGAAACTGGCGCACTCGGTCCAGTTTGAGGGCGGAAAGGATGTCTTCCTCCACAATGGGGAGTCTTGTGGCTTCCACCCATGATTGCATGATGTGCTTTCTTGGCAACACCAAAATCTCGTCTCTTGAGTTTTGTCCCAACCTATATGAGTAACACCTTGGAAGGATGTTCATTGGCCGCTTGGCCTCAACAAAGGACCAAAGGACGCCTCCCATCTTCAACAATGTGGACCACAAAAGCCTTTCCGGCGACAAGGCTGCTCCCTGAAACTGACAATGATGGGCTGCATGCTCAAAGAGCTCACCCAGTTTGGTCGCCCCATCTGCACCCCAACTGAACCAAGTCACCGCGAGCATTACGACTAGAAGGGCCATTGCCACCGCGATTTCCATGACGCGAGCCAGCATCGGTGCTCGCTTGTGCTTCAACTTGTCGAAAAGCCAAACCTCAGTGCTCGCTTGTTGGTTTGCTTGTTTCTCTGCCAGGGCGTTAACGTTATTCTCCTCTCTTGGAGATGGGAGATGAACACCTCAGGAGCTATGAAAGCCAATCCAAATGAGATGCGCTGCCCTCCCCAGTTTCCAAAGGGATGGGTTTTAGACCCTAAGTGAGTGGATCATGGGGCACCCCTGTCCTCCCCTATCCTCCATGAAGTGCGTATATACTGACAATGGAACTGCTGGTTCTTAAGGGCAGCTGGTTGACTACTCCCCGCCAATGGTCACATTCTTGGTGCCTCCACCCCTCCAACGTCTGAAAAGGTCCTACCCCTCCAAGGCTATACCTTAGGTGTGCACTGCAACTTCTTGCGCCCCACGGCCGCGCGCCGATGGGGATTCTCACCCCACCCTTCAGACGTTCCTGACCCGCCGGGCCCCGAAGGCCGCCGAGGTGCGTCGTACAAGTTGGCCGTGGCGTCGTCCTTCTGGGCAGCCAGGCGTTCCTCCAGGTTCACCTCTTTGAGGTTCACACTGCCTCGGTTCTCGGTTCGGTGAAGGGCATTGCTTGGAGCTCTGTCGTCCTGAATGTCCACGTCTCCTAAAAGAAGACGGACCGAACCCGTCGATCCATCAATCGACCACACTATAGGACTCCACAACAACAGGTCGAGAGGAAAGAACTCCGACGTGATTCCGGCTTGGCATGTTGGGCATGTCGTCGCAAGTGTCCCAACAAAAACGGACCACAACACCTGTCACAAGATTCAGCTCAAATCTGCTAGCTGATCACCACCTGACCTAGGACCAATCACCGCTCGTTTTCGACCCGCCACGTTCCGCGTGGGGCGTGCCAATCACAAAGCACCAGAACTCCGAGAGATCGTCGCGCAGGGACCAGAAGGTCGGCTGCGGACAGAAGAGCATTGGACCGGCCAACCAGACCTGCGCGAAGAGGCGCCCCGGGCTTGTTGCGCGTCCAACCGGAGGTCTGGTGCATCCATCGTATGGGAAAGACTGCATTCATCTGCTGATTGATGGTTGTGAATTTTCAGAAAGAGGGCCTCCCTGGGTTTCTAGAGTGTTTTTTTGGGTGGAGCATGCAAGTTTTGGTGTTGCTGCTCCAGCAGGAACGACGATCAAACTTCCAGATAGTTTTTGAGCGCTTGAGAAAAACTCACTTCCCAGGTTTGCAACAGTGTCCCAAAACCATCAAAATTGCACGTTCATAGCGTTTGCACCAAATCCCCTCCTGGAAAATTGGTAGCGTGCGCACATTTCCACTCTGTTCCCCCTGCATTCACATGTTGTTAATTTAATATATATATATATGGAGCTTAATTAATACCTATCTATATAACTGTATATATATAACATTATATTTTACTATATATTTTTAAATAAATATGCACAATATATTAAAATAATTCAGCTTATATCAACTAATATATTGACGTCATCTTCAAGTCCTCTCTTCGATCAGGTGTTTTAAAAACAGCGGGAGGAGGGAAGGTGGATTATGGACCAACCATGCCAAACAGAATGTAGGAAGATCCCTAAGTAGGATGTCTATCTTCAGAACTGACATAAATAACAACGAACGCCTGATAAGCCTATTTGGAGGCCACACTCTTACTTGTATCTGGAAAAACTCATCTTCGGCAATGCTTAAGCTTCTGAAAGGGCATTCTCACGGGGCAGCCACGGCTGGTGTCAAGGTCGACATTGAGCCTACAAGATCTGCAGGACCAGACAGACCTGGGAGACCTGACCACATCATACCTGACGCGCCAGGTTGCGCTTTATACACACTTTGCAGCACATCTATGCACTAGCTAATACAATATGCGCTAGTAATACGCAATCAATCCCAATTATCATATTGAGGGTACCCGCCGCCCTGGGCCCCTGGGCCCCCTCTTCGGTTTGGAGAGCTCTTTGCCCGAGGCACGCAGGCAGTGCCCAAGAGGACCATCATGGGCAGGGCTGCCACATTGAAGGTCTCGGCCAGCGACCTGCACGGTCGTCTGCCCCCTTTAGGATCCCTTTCGCTAGGGTCATGTAGGGTTGGACTACTGGTAGGCCCTATAGCTGGAAGGATGCACTGACGAACGGATAGATATGTTTTCCGTTATGTTTTTCATGTTGTTTTCCCCTACTGTTTTTGCTTTTGCTTCTGCTGACGAACACTAGACAACTCCAACTTCCGTGAAGCGACATTTCACACTGGAAGGCCGGCCCCTCATGGCAAAATCCTTGGTATTGCCGGGTGATGCGCCGTTTGGAGGTTTCTCTTTACCTTTAAGCCACCGGTTCAAGCTCAGGCCCTTCGGTTCTTCAAACCCAAATTTCCCTAGCAAGCCAATGGGGAAACCTGGGATGCTCAGGCCGTGCAGGCTGCAGCCTGCCCCAGGCTCATCCCAACAACCCAGCCTGTAGACCGCATACATGATAAGGATCCGCACAGCTGGATAGTAATGGCTCTCCTGAGGGCCGTGAAGGCTTGATTGATGTTCGGCAAAGACATGGCACAAATGAAAGAATTGACGGCCAGGGAGCTCTGTAAAAGAAGTAGCAATCTCCTGAGCTGAGGATGGATCATCAACCAGTCAATCAATTGATACAGGTACAGTATAAGGTTGTACAATAGCTATACTGTAGGAACATCTACCATCTGCCGATCATCTGCCCCCAAAGTTATAAATCCATTATAGGTCATTCACCTCTTCCACCCTTCAGGGGCTCTATCTGAGCCCACATTTGCTGCCTCAGCTTCGCCAACCATAGTGGTCGTTGGCCGGAGGGCGTCCAGTGGAGACGTAGCTTGCAATGCCCGTCTGCATCGTAGAGCCCACGGCTTCCGCGATGGATTTGTTCATGAATGTGAACCTCAGAAGACGCCGCGGCGCCACCGCCACACCGCCACGGCCCGCCACGGCCACGGCAGCCCGCCATGGCCGCGAAGCTGAGCTTCGGGGAGAAGGCGCGAAGCGAATGTCTTGGGAGTGGGATGGAATGAGGGAGGTGAGGCACCCAATCTAAGACCAAGCTAACATCAACTGGACCTTGCCCAAAAAAAATTTTTCCCGGTGTTTCCTCTTGTTTCGAAAACCCGCATGTGTCTTTCCAAGAATGGCAAACAAACCAACGACTGACCAGTCTCTAAGTTGCCCTCGTTTTGGTCGCCCAGCGGCACCAACACGGCTCCTGGAATCGATGGCCTCGGTCGACCCAGGCCGCGAGCCGAGACGGAACGAGCTCCGGTCAGAGCCGGAAGGAGGGCCCATTGGCCCTTCATGTAAACTCTTGAGTATAGTGGATAGAGAGTAGATGGCACAACTCCCAAGATGTCTTTTACATGGGGATCCAAATAAATCACCTTTTGGGGATTGTGCCATCTACTCTGAACACACTGTAGGCTCTTGATTAAAGGCCGCGACTTAATTTTGGATTTATTGTGTTTTTTGTTTTTTGTGTTTCGTGGCAGGTGCAGTACTTGGTGGGCCTTGCAAAGCACATTTCGTGGCAGGTGCAGGACTTTGTGGATGTGGAAGTGCAAAGTTGGTGGCAGGTGCAGGACTTTGTGGCTCTTGCAGTGCAGATTTTGTGGCAGGCGCAGGACTTTTTGCGGGCCTTGAAGTGCAGATTTCGTGGCAGGTGTAGTACTTTGTGGCCCTTGGAGTGCAGATTTCGTGGCAGGCGCAGGAATTTGTGGACCTTGAAGTGCAGATTTCGTGGCAGATGCAGGACTTTGTGGATGTGGAAGTGTAGAGTTGGTGGCAGGTGCAGGACTTTGTGGGCCTTGGAGTGCAGATTTCGTGGCAGGTGCAAGACTTTGCGGATCTTGAAGTGCAGATTTCGTGGCAGGTGCAGTACTTTGTGGATGTTGAACTGCAGATAGATAGAAAGATAGAAAGATAAATGGATAGATATAGATAGATAGATAAATAGATAGATAGATAGATAGATCTATAGATATAGAGGAGGCATATTTGCTTGGGTAGAAAGTTTTGCACCGGGGAGTTCCTTAAAATATTGATTTCGTGGCAGGCGCGGGTGTCGGGGATGAAGTAAAGATTTCGTGGCGCGGGGGGGGGTTGGGGGTGGCGTAGCGCCTTTCCAGCAGCACACCAGATCCAAAGGTGAGCAGCTCGTGCTTGCTTGCTTGCTTGCTTGCTTGCTTGCTTCCTTGCTTGCTTGCTTGCTTGCTTGCTTGCTTGCTTCCTTGTTTGGTTTCGTCTCTGGAACGAAAACAACAGGAAAAGCAAATGCACAAAGAGAAAGGAGAACAGCTGCCAAAAAGAAAGAAAGAAAGAAAGATATTAAGGGCCGCGACTTAATCTTGTTTTTTGTTTCTTTTTTTTGATTTTTTGTTTTGCGTGTTTCGTGGCAGGTGCAATACTTTGTGGACCTTGCAAAGCACATTTCGTGGCAGGTGCAGGACTTTGTGGATGTGGAAGTCCAGAGTTGGTGGCAAGTGCAGGACTTTGTGGGCCTTGGAGTGCAGATTTTGTGGCAGGCGCAGGACTTTTTGTGGGCCTTGAAGTGCAGATTTCGTGGCAGGTGTAGTACTTTGTGGGCCTTGGAGTGCAGATTTCGTGGCAGGCGCAGGAATTTGTGGACCTTGAAGTGCAGATTTCGTGGCAGATGCAGGACTTTGTGGATGTGGAAGTGTAGAGTTGGTGGCAGGTGCAGGACTTTGTGGCCCTTGGAGCGCAGATTTCGTGGCAGGCGCAAGACTTTGTGGACCTTGAAGTGCAGATTTCGTGGCAGGTGCAGTACTTTGTGGATGTTGAACTGCAGATAGATAGAAAGATAGAAAGATAAATGGATAGACAGATAGATAGATAGATAGGTAGATAGATAGATAAATAGAGGAGGCATATTTGCTTGGTTAGAAAGTTTTGCACCGGGGAGTTCACCTTAAAATATTGATTTCGTGGCAGGCGCGGGTGTCGGGGATGAAGTAAAGATTTCGTGGCGCGGGGGGGGTTGGGGGTGGCGTAGCGCCTTTCCAGCAGCACACCAGATCCAAAGGTGAGCAGCTCGTGCTTGCTTGCTTGCTTCCTTGTTTGGTTTCGTCTCTGCAACGAAAACAAAAGGAAAAGCAAATGCAAAAAGAGAAAGGAGAACAGCTGCCAAAAAGAAAGAAAGAAAGATAGATAGATAGATATAGACAGATAGATGGATAGGCCAAAAAGCCAAAAGCCACAAAAGCCAAAAGCCACAGAAGCCACGAAAGCCAAAAGCCACAAAAGCCAGAAGCCACAGAAGCCACAAGCCACAAAAGCCAGAAGCCACAGAAGCCAAAAGCCACAAAAGCCAGAAGCCACAGAAGCCAGATGCCATAAGCCACGAAAAACAAAACAAAAGATCCAAAACAGGAAACAAAAAAATCCAAAATTAAATGGCCCTCCCTTGATTAATGAACCCACTCCAATTGGATGCACGGACTTGCCGGCACGCTCCCAAGTCAAAACCCTTGCCCACAGGTGGGGCGGGTACAGGTGGGTCTGTTGGTCAGATGTGATACTCTAGGGTGGTAACCTCTGTACACTACGAACACTACTGCGACATGCACCACGGACGAACAGCATCAAGTGAAGAAACCACGAGCACACCCCAATTGGATTGAAGAGCCTCTTCATAGTACCGGGGCGGGGGTTCATTCATCAAGGAGTCTACATTACACTCCTTGAAATCATCCATGGCAGTGGATGACACAACACTCTCTCGTGGGTCTTCGGACCAATCAAATGAGTCTATGGTTCTCTTGTTTGACCAAAAAGCTGGGAGTTCCACATCTTAGGCTACCCCCCCATCCTCCTCTTCGGCCCCAGCCAGTTCCTTCAGTTCAACTTCCCCACCCAGCAACGTTCCACGCTGTATCACGCTTGTGGCGTTTTGGTGCTCAGGGGCAGGAATCGAATGAAGCCCTCCATGATGCCATACTCCAGGGTCAACTCCATGAGCCTTGGAAACCTGGGATGAAAAACCACTCCGCTGGCGACATCCCTATCTGGGACCTACATACATTTAGAACTTACTTTTCTTAGAAATATGTTATCTCTCAGGTTCAACAGAACCCGTCCTTCTTTCGACGATCCGACGATCCTGGAAAGTGCAAGCTGGATTAAACTAAAAATAGCATCCTAAAAACAATGATATATACAATAGAAACATGTTGAGGAGTCCAAGAAAAAAACCACAAATTCTCAATCCCGCTGGTTGGGGTATTCGGTCTGGGTGCCCATTACCATGGGTGAGGTAACCTTGTGGGCTCCAGGGCTGCATCGCGTATGCCTGCGTGGCGCGCCCACGTGTCGTCTCTAGCTCTTCCCCCAACCAAGGAACATGGCTAAGGTACCGAAGGAGATCACCCACTCCGCTGCCAGCAAGGAGTCCAGCTTCCCAATATCATCCAAGCTCTTGGATGAGAGCGTCAGGAGAACGAAGATGAAGACCTGAACGGCAGGATGAGATGCCGGGGCGACCAAAGACATCCGGAAGACGCAGAAAGCACGCCTTTGGTCTTGCAAGCACCCCCACAGTCATTATATATAATATTGTATGTATATGCCAGCACCCTCCAACAGGTCTCCTCTGGTGACTTTTGCGGACTTCAAAGTTGCAGGTGGTGACCTGTTGGAGGGTCCTGGTAGTTGCTAGCGGTTCCCCAGGTCGCCTGGTATTTTTCTAGCGTTTACCATCATTTTTTATTGGTATTTACAGTGTTTTGTTGATTTACCCGCAGGGTGCCTGGGGAGAGCGTTCTAGTCATCTTTCATAGGTATTTACAGTGTTTTGTTGCTTTTCGTCATTTTTCATTGGTATTTACAGTGTTTTGTTGCTTTTGTTTGCGTCCAATATTTCATGGTAGGGGTTACTTTGTTATATTTGATTAAGCACCACCAAGGGGGGGGGAGGGGGTGGGGAGGGGGTGAAAGAGTGACTAGGGCGTACACGGTAGAGGTGCAGACCGCTAGTGTCTTTTATGCGCAGAGTCTTATCCTCTTGCTCTTTGAGCCTTGAAGCAGTCAAGCATGGACACACTATATCAGCTGTTAGAGTGGAACCCTGTACAGGTAGGCTCTACTTTTCAGCAGGCACAAGATTCATGTCCACTCCTAGCTGATTGCGTATGTCGCATACTCTTTTTCTACTGCAAGGCTAAAACAGTCCAGCTAGCTCTGACAACTTAAAAGAAAACTACGGTGCCATGTACTTACCTAATCCAGTGTGTTTCACACTTCAGAGAAGGTAATCTCATAGCTACTCAATACAGTGAGGGAGCAATAGCTGACTCACCTCAAGTACAAAATCAAAACGATAATGTACCTCGGCTGGAGACTGTACTTTTCACAGGCGGAGATACCATGTACCGGCGCTCACTAGCTCTTTAGGGCCTGAGCTAAATCAAACTAAAAAGGGAAAGCGGCTTTTTCTCTACAGAGACCTATAAAAGAATCAAACGACACTCGCGTAACAAAGAACTAAAAATTCAAGACCGCACAAATGCAATTAATTAAAATGCCTTGCAAAATGCAAGGAGCGTACGGTCCGAGGAATAATCTTCTCGTGACGTGGTCTCGACCGCTTTCATTCACAGACAAAATAAACTGCATCAAAAGGACTCCCTTTCACATTCACATCAAAAAAACACAAGAAGGAGATACCGGCAAATGTATGTACAAAAATCTTGCACTACAATTGCAAATCATGAAATGACTTAATCATCAACCATGACTGGTTGTCCATTAGAGGTCATCTCAGAAAAGCGACTGTGATAGATATCATCAGTTATGCAAAACTGTCCATACCTATCTACATGCTAAAGCGTATAAACCTGGAATGCAGGAGTATCTTCTTTGATAAAAAGTTTCTCCTCATTGCAAACCAGAATTTATTAAAACTTCAGCCTGGCAACTTAAAGTCAAGCCTGGAAGCAAAGTATCAACTGTAACCAGAAGTATCTTCACTTCCTAGCCATCATTTAAATCTCAGCCTTCGCTCAGGAATTATGCCGCTGCAAACGATGAAGTTGCTTGATCAGAAGTTTGCGGCCTTCCTTTCTTTCTATTCTGCTTCTGTCTCTCCTTCCTCCGCGCGTTCGCCTCATGAAGCGTTGCTCCCATGCGATACTGTCTTCTGTCTCCAGATGAAAAGGAAGCTGGTCTGAGTGAAATAAACATTGGACCATGACTGTCCTCGTCAGTGGGCCTTGAGCACATAACCTCTGTATCAATCATAGCAAAGTTCTCTGAAAAATTACAGATGAACTCCTTCGTGCTCACTGTGGAATTTTCATATTCCTCTTCACTCATTGAATGACCCCATTCAACAATGGTAGACAAACATGTATCGCCAAGCTGTGATCCTTGGTATTCTTCTTTTTCAACAGTAGAATATTCTTCCCAGAGTTTATCAAAGTAAACTTCACACTTCTTGAGGACCTAAAGTTGAACTGTAAAATGTTCTGGGAATAGGTGCTTTGATACCAGGATCTGCTTTTACACGAGCTTCTGAAAACCTGCGGATCCAATGCTGCATGGTGCTGTAATAGTAGTTAGCCATTGGCTGCCTTTTGTACCCAGACATTCTGTAGGCCAAACTATTTGCATCACCAGAAATGATGTCCACCTCATAGACAAAACACTCGTAAAGCATCAATGCTGTCTGTTCTCCTGTCAGTAGGTGGGCATCCACAGCACGGTGTGTATCAACATGATAATTACAGACTCTGATGGTATGCATGTTCGCTCGAGTAAGTGGAACACGCTTGTCCTCAGGACCATAGTCATCAAATTCAAAGTCTGCATCCTTGAAATCTTGACGAGGCCTTGTTTCTCCAAAACAAATCTCGTAGATAGCCCAAGTTACATCACGCTGTTCACAGTGACCAAGTTCCTGATCATGTCCAGCAATGATCTTGACATATCCACCTGGTGCCAATCTAGCCATCACTGCAAGATTCTCCCAATCATTGAAACAAACTGTCCAATTCTTTTGCTCAATAAATTCCTTGGCAGGAACAAGAAGATGAGCTTCCTGGAGAATCACGACATGTGCACGTAAAAAGAAGAGCATGTTGAAGAAAAGGTTGTTCTCAAATTGCTCATTCTGAAGTGATATGGCGCTCTGTTTGCGTGGCCTCATTGCACTATCAAGTCCTTGGAGAAACCTTGGTGTGGTGTACTTCTGACCACGAACCATGTTGCCATAGTTCCAGGATAAAAATGTCAAGGACTCTGAGCTGGCCAATAAGTTAGTTCCATATGGTTCTTCTATTCTTCCCTTGAGGAACCTTCTGCACAGCTCTTCATAGAAGGTGACAAAGTCCCAACTGGGTCCCTTGGGACCATATGATTCCAGTTCCTTCTTGAGTTCCTTCTTCGTCTCCTCCAATTCTTCTCGAGCATGTCCTGCCCTTTCAATTGCCTTTGGATCGACCTGATACTTGCCATCCAAATAAATGATGCGATCATCATTGATGAAGAATCTCTTCAAATCATGCTCTGGTTCATGTTCATAACAATCAGGTGGAGGTACTGGACAGACATTACGAATGGATCGAACAAAATCATTCTCGTTGATCCTTGACTGATAATGAGGATGGGAAATCTCACCTTTTCTGAAACAAACATGATTCAGCAATCTTGCGTGAGTTTCCCTGAAGCATAGTTGATAAAGGCCAATACCTGGATCTCCTGTAAGCTCTCCAAGCAACTTCAAAGGTGAAGTATGCAACTCATAGGTATTGTCAGCTTTTGCTGTATCCTTTTCAACAACTACTTCAGATGGAAAAGATTCTTGGATTTCAGCCTCCAATTTCTTCTCTCCATCATCCTCTCTGACCTCTTTTATTTTCTCCACCGCCTCTTTCTTCTCTTCCATGGTTGCATCATCCTGAACTTCTTCATGAAAATGAGGATCAGGTATCTTATTCAGGCGGCTTTTCTTAGATTTCCGCTGACCTGAAGTATCATCAAGGTTAGCATCCATCTCACCTGATGGTAAGTACGATGCCGTCGAGTCCTCACCTATCTCTCTTGACAGAAAGTGTGGTGTTGACTCTTCCTTGGCTTCCTCCTGGTCCACTTCCATCTTTGGTTCCTCTGAAGGAAAAACACCTGCATTCTCATCAAATATTTCTTCTTCCTTTCCAAGTTCAACTGCAGGATCTTCTTCAGGAACTTCCTCTTCCATATCCTCATCTTTTAGAAGTGTCCTACTTCCAGTATAGATTTCACCAGCGATAGTGGAGACTCTTGTATAAGGAGGAACTTCTTCACCTGCTTCAAAAGCTTGTTCTGCAACATCCTTGGTGAGCAAGTCCTCTACAAGATTTTCTCCCTCTGTTCTTGGAAGAGGTCCTGAGGTCTCATAAAAATCTGTCCTCTCTGAACTGAAAGCTTCTGTCGCCTTCTCATTGTCCTTTTGATCCCTGAACAGGTGAGTAATCTTCACAGCTTCTCCCTGTAGCACCTGATCACCTCCTCTATACTTGTCGACAATGGAGCGCCATACTGGAACATCATCATCATCAAAATCAAGCTCCATATCATCTGCCAACAGGTATGAGATGTTTTGAGCTGCCCGTTCTTCTTCTTCATCACGTTCCTTGGCAAGCTCCTCATCCTTCTGGATCTTGAAGATACCCTTCAGGATGTCTTGTAGTACCTTTAAGTTCAGCTTCGATGATGGCTCATACGTCCCTGAACTTACAGGCTCAACTACAACACGAGAGCAAGAAATCGCCTCCAAAAACTTGGAATTGTATTGGCGTTCAAACTCTTCCTTCTTGATCATCTCATACAAGGGATCAGAAACTGCAACACGCGCCTGAACATACTCACGAAGTTGATAGCATGCATGTTGCACAAATCTGCTGTGGGAGTTGTGAAGAAAACTCTCTAAATGATTCCTGTCACGGTCAATCAAATACCACACAATTCTTGCAGAAAAACGGAATTTCTTGAAGTTCATAGCAAAATGTGTATGATACTTCTCTGGATCCACTTCTGCACATAAATCGGCCTCTGAAGTCTTGTAAAAAGGAAATTTTGTAACTGGATCCAAAATCATAAACTCTTCCCACAAGATCGAATGCTTCAGAACCCACTTGGGAAACACCTTGATGAAAAAGTCACAAACAAGTTCTGACACAAGGTGCATGACACGACCAATCTCTTCCTCCTGCTTGAAGCGATAGTGCAATTTGGCAAACAAGGGATTGTTGAATGCTTCCTCCACTGTATTGCCAAAATTATCCCACTGAGGTTCTGGAATACCAAAGTTCCAACCCAGCAATTTGGGATCTCTGCACATATCCAAGAAACTTGAAAGTTCTGCAGAAGCAATGCCATGGTCTGTCAGAATTTCAGCCCAACGGCGTCCATTCTCCCAAGCACGGATGAAGAAAAACTGTTGGTATCCAGTTTGTGCCAACTCCATCCACTGAGAA